GACTTGCTGTGTTTGGACTTGCTGTGTTCGAGTCTAACAAGACTTGCTGCTAGCAATCGGACAAAAAACAATCGGTACATGATTTCTGCTAGCAACAGGTCAAGGTTCGGACTTGCTTTGTTCGAGTCTTAGAGATTTAGGCAATAATCAAACAAATCCCGATTATTGTCTCAATCATTCAATCATTTATTGATTAGAAGAAGAGAAGAACACAAGGTTCTTAGGTTCGGATTTTCTGTGTTCGACTTCGAGGCTTAGAGATTTAGGTTGTCACAATGTTACTTACCGGAAGAATCAAGGATGGAGGTGGGTTAGCGACTTAGCGTCGGACAACAGTAGCAGCGGAAGACGACTGCGACTTAGTGCCAATCGAGTGATCGACGGAGATGAGACTTGCGATAATTTGTGAGCAGTGCCGATGAGTTTGGATTTTGGATTTTTCCAATTTGGAGTTTGATGTTTAGGGGCTAGGGCACCGGACATGCACAGTAGTTGATAAATAATTAAAAAATCAAAAGTGATAAATAATATATATATATTTTTTAAACCTAATATATATATAATCGGGTTGGCGGGTTGACCCGCAAACCCAAACAGGTAACCCAACCCAACCCATTAAATAAACGGGTTGGCGGGTTGGCGGGTCAAAAATCTCAACCCAAACCCGTTTATTTTCGTGTTGGGTCACTTTCGGGTTACGGGTTGGGTCGAGGATTGCCACCCCTACATACAAAGAACTTTTAAATTCGACTTCGTATGAGGAAGTTATGATTTTTCTAAGTTTTGGAATAGCAGTAGACAACTAAAAACTCGAAATAAAGATCGAACGATATTTTACTGACACAACCTAAACGAGAATTGAAGGTCTCATCAATAGTAGTACAACGGTAAAAAGTCTGACGAAAACAGACGTTGGATGAAGAAGTTATGAATTTTTAACGGATTTTCCTGTCCCGGTCTATTAAAAATAATAATATTAAATATAAAGTCAAAATTAGCCGACGATGTCTAGACGAAAGTTGTAGAATATATTCCTGCCTATGCGTGCAGGTCAAAAACAGAGCCCATATGCGAAAGTTGTGGATTTTAGAAGGTTCGGGAACAAATTCCGAGAAATCTCGAATGCATAAGTCTTATCCGAAACTGGCCACGTCACCTTCTATCCAAGTAGGCCGCGTGTCCAAAGCACCTTAGTCACCCGATGCGCTGTGCGTCCGAACGTCCAACGCGTGTTGCCTTCCGATTGGACCGAAGCCACGACACAACCATCGTCTGACGTGCCTCGTACCCGGCGGCGCCTTCCGAACCTCGCCTCGCATCCGGATCTGAGCCTCCCTCCTTTTGTCGCGTGTACCGAGCCTCGCAGCCTCGCACCACCTGCCCTCCTTCCCTCTTGCTTCGGATCTTAGGCTCGCACCTATATAAAGGGTGCGAGACCTCCCGGGTAAGTTTGGATTTTTGCCACTTTTTCACCCCTTATTCCATATTTTGGCTATTTCCCCGAAGCCTCAGTATTATGTTTAACACCCGAAACACGCCTCGAAGTGCCCGAGAAGCCCGAGAAATTTATCTTTTCAGTTTGAAGCTCTACCTTTGCAGAGCCCGGTTTTCAAGAAAGCTACTGATTTTTATAGAAGAAAGCTATTTGTAGGAACGAAGTGCTGTACAAATTACTATTTTAACCCCCGGTTATTTCAATGTGAGTTTCAATATATAGGAACAATTGTATGTTATGTGCTATATGTGCTATGTGCTTTTCAGTTGTTATTATTTCCGCTATCTATGATATCAAAGTAATACCTTTGACCATGTGATCAGTGAAAGGACTTAGATTCACAGTGGTACTGGTATTTAGCCTCTAACCATGTAGAGCATGTCTCCGTAAGAGAATGACTTCTATTCTATGGTATTGGCAAATGGTTAGACAGGGCTATAAGCCTGAAATCTACCAAAATGTTAATAAAAAATTGTATGTCTTCTGTGCCATTTGGGCCGAAGCTTTATTGATGTATATAAAGTTTGGAAATTGTTATGTCTCATTGATTGTATATCTTTGAATCAAGTCATTGATTGATATGGAAAGTTTGTCACATGATTCACATATGCCTTTGTTGTTCCTTGTTCCTCTTTGCTTCTGCCATATTGAAGTGTATATATATATATATATATATATATATATATATATATATATATATATATATATATATATATGGCATAACGTTATATTGTATCTATTATTGAACTCACTAAGCATCATCGCTTACCCTCTCAATGTTTTAAGATATTGCAGGCAATAAGCACACAATATAGCTTTATACTGTTTGAAGAATTAAAATAGTCTATACTATTACTTTGTATTTAAGTTTTAGTATGTATAAAATATACAATATCCTGGGTAGTTTTGTAATAAACTTAAACTTAGTCGGCTTGTATCCAGCCGTGTGTAAATAAATTATCAATGTAAAATATTATTTGTGAATATGCATGTAGTATGTTTTGGAGTAACAAATTGTTTTAGTATTATGAAAGTGAGGGTCTTTCAGTGGAAGCAAAGGCTACAAAGCATGATGATTCTAAAACTGTAATTGACTTCTTGAAGTCAAATATTTTTGCAAGATATGGTGTACCAAGAGCCTTGGTGAGTGATAGGGGCACTCATTTTTGCAACAAAATGATGGAAGCCATGATGAAGAGATATGGTGTCACACACCGGATATCGTCCGCCTACCATCCACAAACAAACGGCCAAGCCGAAGTGCCAAATAGAGAAGTCAAACAAATTCTTGAAAAGACGGTCAACACTACACGAAAAGATTGGAGCTTGGAGTTAGAAGATGCATTGTTGGCATATCGAACCGTCTATAAAACTCCAATTGGCATGTCTCCATTCCACCTTATCTATGGAAAGTCTTGTCATTTATCGGTGGAGTTGGAACACAAGGCATATTGGGCGGTTAAAATGTGTAATTTCAATATTGAAGAAACCGGGAAGCACCGAAAGATGCAACTTCAAGAAATCGAAGAGTTGAGGAATGAGTCTTATGAAAACGCAAGCAACTACAAAAACAAGACAAAAGCGTTTCACGACAAGCACATCACGCGAAAGCATTTTATTTGGGGTCAAAAAGTTTTTCTTTATCATTCGTGGTTAAAGTTATTCTCGGGAAAATTGCGATCTCGATGGCACGGACCTTTTATTGTTATAAAATTGTTTGATCACGGTGCGGTTGAAATTAAGACTTTGGAAACAAATCAAATATTTAAAGTGAATGGGCACAACTTGAAACCATTTTATAAAGGCTTTGACATGGGAGAATTCGATAACATAACATTGGAAACTCCGATTTACGAAGGTTAACAGAAACGGGGCTATGTCTTGGCAAAGACGTTAAATAAATGCATTGTAAATAAATAATCTCCATTTGAAGTTTTGATGTTTCTAGGCTTGAAGTTTGTCAAAAATAAGCATCTTGAAGCATAGCAATGATCTTGGTAAAGTATGCAAAAAGTGTAAAAAATCTGCAAGTTGTGCGGGTACCCGCACAAACGTTGCGCGACCAACCCCAATCCACGCAAATCCAATTCCAAATTACCCCCACATGGGATACAAACTCTTGTATGCGTGCGGGTGAGGGAGGTCCTTACGCGGGCTGATACCTGCCCTCGCAACCTCTTATACGGCTTGCCTCCTACCCTCGCAACTCCTTACGCAGCTAAGAACAAACTCCATTTTCCTTTGCGCGACCAACACATTAGCCATATAACTCCATATACGACCTTCAAGCCTACCCGATAACTTGATTTGTACCCACCCGATACCCCGATCCACTTTTCATACCCGACCCAACCTTAAAACCCCTTCAACACATCGGCTTCATCCCTTTAGCCCCCTTAACTCTCCCATTAACAATAATTCCCAATTGCAACGACCAACTCCATTGCCGTTAACAAAGATCGTCATCGCCTGTCACCGCATCCAATCAGTGCCACCGGTCGTCACTGCCATCCTCACCACCTTCGACCGATAGTTGCTACTTCCCTTCCCCCTTCTTCTCCAGCCGGCAGCCCTATTCTTCCCCTTACCCTAGCTCGTCGAAAATCACCATCCTACCACTACTGCCTCCTCCGTCCGTTGCTGCTACGACTACTCGCCACCACCCTAATCTCCAACTAATTCCGATCACCCTGCACCCTTTTACCACCAGGAGCAGCTAGCTCCGCCACCATCTCTTTCACTCGCCGAAAAATCGAAAAAGCTTCATTCCGCCTCCATCTTCCACCAAAATTCAAAATTTCTTGGGGCATTCTTCACCACATACTTCCGCGCACACCAATCTATAGTCCATTTGGCCAAATTCGCTCGCTGGAAAATCTAGCACCGCCACTAATTTTGACAAAAATTTCAAATTTTTGTTTCTCACCGGAGATTCAAAAGACTCAACTTTGCACGTCAAATTCAAGCTTGGGGTGTGGTTTTAGCGGTTTTCTTTTCGGGTTTCCTCACTCGAATTTGGTACATTCCTTTTAATTTTATTACATTCCATTTCTAATTTGGATAGAATTATGCTATGCATAGATTGATTAGAATTAAATTGCTTTGATTTGATTGGATTACGTTGCCTTGGATTGTGCTAAATTGCAAGTTTGGAGTATTTGCCCGGTTTATATTTTTATTTTTGTTTGGATTGATTGGATTGGTGTGAAGTGAGTGTGAGGGATAATTTTGTCCAAGTTTTTGTCTTTTCTAGGTTATATTTACAGGTACAATGGGAAAGAACAAAACCATTCATGCATCTCATGGTTCTTCTTGTGAAGCTCAATCATCGTGATCATCCAAAAAGGTGTCAACCGATCATGTTGATCGTGATGGTAACCTTGTCCTCACTAGTACACAAATCAAGCAATTCAAATCAAACCTCCAAAAACGTGCAGTCCAAGCCACCAAATTTTACCATCGTGAATCCGTGATAAACCTTCATCTTGATGATTGCGTGCAACAAATGTTCTTCAACATAGGTTGGCACGATTACCTAGCTCCTTCCGTGCTCACATACAAGCAACCCACAGTTGAGCTCCTCTCCACTTATGCACGGGATGACACGAAGGGGGTGCTCACATTTAGACTCCAAGGTCGGCAGCACCGACTCACATACGACACCCTCAATACTATCATGGGCACATACGATAGCCACAACACCGACATCTATAGTTATCAATGGACTCAATTCAAGAGCTTTCCCAAAGTAGAGTTTTGGACTCAGATCACTAGTCTTCCAAACTTTAATCCAAGTCGACAAAAATATCCTTACATCATCCATCCTTGTTGGAGAATCGCCCACCAGATTCTTTCAACTTCCATCTTTGGTCGTCACGAGCCGGGACAAATAAACATAGTCGAACTATATTTCCTTGATTGCATGACTAGCCGCCGTTGGTCTTGCCCCACTTTCACCACCTTTTTCTTGGATAAATATGACAACATACGCATGAATAGCACTGGTGACATTTGCATTGGAGGTCCCATTACCCTAATTGGTTTGGGTGCAGGCCTTCAATTTCCCGAGTCTGAGTATGTGCCAGTGGATGACCCACCTCTCTACCTCCTCGACTGCTTAGCTCTCACTCGGATGGAATTATTGCTACTTACTAATAGTCATCATTACTCTTGGCTCATTCATGCCAAGGAATCAATTTACATCTTACCTAATACTAGCATATCCGCCTTTACCACCAGCGACCCCGAAACTTGGTTTTTGCCTGAAGCGTTACATGATGATGATGATGACTGATAGCCCATTTGAGGCCGAAGACCATTATGACCCCTCAATCTGACAACTGCCACCACCTTTTTATGATCAGCCCTCGGAAGCACACTTCGAGCCACAAAATGAGTACCACTCCTATCAACAACACAACGGGCCCGAACCCAAGTTTCCTCTTGATATATATACAGTCAGCTTGCTGCCTTGCGCCACCAGGGAAACCAGAATACAACAGCCAATTGACGCATCGAGGAGCAGCAAGCTCGCACCAACAACTACATGGAGGATCTTTGGCATCATTTTTGGTCCGAAGGCGGTTACCGGCCGCATAGGCCTCCTCCACCTTGATCCCGATATGATCTTTTCTTACTCTCATCCTAAGCATTGAGGACGATGCTTCATTTTAAGCTTGGGTGAGGTGTTCTTATCTTTTATTTTTTTTATTGCATTTAGGTTGTATATAGTTGCATTTAGAGTAAGTCATTAAGGTCATTTATAAAAAAAAAAAAAAAACTGCATAAAAAATTCAAAAATATTACATATTTTATTTATTTCATTTCTAGTTTTCATACTTTTTAGATGCATTCTAGTTTAAGTTCATGCATTTTTGTTCTCTCTTGTCTTCTTATCCCTACAGGTATCATAGCGCGGAATCATAAGTATTGAATCATAGATTGGTCCTGGGTCTTGATATGAAATTCCTTGTATTGGATAAATGGGACACGTTACGAGCCTCATAGGCCATTTTGAGACCACTTGTGTGGGGGTCAATTCTTTAAAGAAAATACGTAACTATTGTTATAAAAGCTTACATGATTGACAATCATGTTACCATGTATCATTATATAGTTTTACAAAATAACCAAAAAATTATGATAGTTTACTAATTTTGATGTTACAACATAATATTATTACTAAAGCACATTTTAAACAAAATATATAAGTCAAAAATCTTTTGAGATACATTGGTTTAGACCTAACAAAATAAATCTAACATAATTAAAAAGCTTCATAAAAACTTAAACTATTCATATAATATTCATCACCATAAACTTACGAGTTACCTTGTATCATATGAGGAGTTCATACCTCGTCACAAGTTAACTACAAATTACTTACTGACCATGTAAGAGCTAATCCCATTGTGGTCACATATATAGACAACTACAAATAGTGTCTTATTCGCCCCCATTTGTAAGACATGACTTGGGAATGCGTTCACACATAAAACATAAAACCCAATCAATAAGTAAAATCAAAATTCAATCAATAAACATATGACATGCTAGACTTTCAAAACATTACTACTAGCAATGCCATTTAAAATAATTCATATAAGAACATCAAAGATTCAGATATCAAAACATTTGACATAAAACACATTCATATGAGAAAAGTTGTTTTGCTATACACCCATTAAAATCCACATGTACTATCCACTTGTCCCTTATATACGTTTAGAATAAATGGCATCGGTTCCATACTTAATCAGATCCCCAATTTGCTTTTATACTATATTTCCTTCTAAATTTACGCAGTCATAAGTTAATTATACTAACTTCAAAATTTTCATGAATTTTAATTACATAAAGGTGGGAGGAAGCCCAACAACTCCACTTTTGACTAAATGCTTAGATGTATTAATCTATTAAGCCTTAAAGTGATTAGTACATGTTATGAAAATTCCAGTTTTGCCTTTGTGACCAAAATACATAATTCAATGACATAATTCACTTAAATTAATCTTATATCTTTTTACAAGACTACGTCAACAAAATCATAAGACCCAAATTTTAAAATTTGATGATATTCATAAAGATGACTAAAATACCTCTTGATTAACATAGTCTTTTAAGACAGATCATAAAACTTACAACCAACTTATTCAATTTGAACAACACATAAAAAGTTTAGTTATTACATTATGGAACACCAATTTTAGGGATAATGAGTTAGAACTTAGAACATCAAATTTTGTTTAATATGCTTCGTAACAACTTTCTAGATGATTTTGTAAATATATGATCCAGAATTTGGAAAAAACCTGTTGCTTTGAATCGATTTTGTAAATGGTTATGTATAAATATATGTGCATTAAACATATGTAAAATATTAAACATATTAGGGATTCATTCAACTGTATTGGAAAATGTTTTACAAATTGTGTTGAGTTAAATCTAAAATTGTTATTAATTTTTTCACTGGTTTCTTAAAGGTGTTCAGGTTATAGAAATCCTTCTCACTGATTTTTTTTAGAGAAAAATAGTCTGGAGAAGATAACCGGAGATTGATGGTGGATGTGTGGTGTGGTGGTAAGTAAGAGGGTGGACATGGTGTAACATCCTGATGGAAATGTACTCTTAATTTCAACCTTTTATCATTAAAGAAAACACCATTTTATCAGACATAGAGTAGAAGAAGGACACCTCGTCATAAAAAAAGTATCATCATAAGAGAATCCTACAGATCCCCTCTCAAAGGGTCTAAGTAGAGTTAAGCATATTCAGTATGAAAGGAGCACTGGTCTGAAAGATGATATTAGTTTTAGTAGTTAGATAGGTATTTAGAAACTTGTAACAAAGTAAATGTAATTGACATTTGATGATTAAGTAATGGGGAATTATTTTTGAGTATTGATTACTATCCTTTGTGAATTATTTATTATTATGTTTCATTTTTTGCATGTTTTACTTCCCGAATAATTAGATTATTCAAACATCCACAATCGATCATACTTTTGGAAGTAAGTAGTGGGTTAAGACTGTCATGAATCGATTGTAGATTGTCTAAAGAGTTTTAGGTATGGCAATTGAGACATCCCAAAAATACGGTCCAAAATTCCGTTTTTAAATCATTAACAAAACCATAAATATCATCTTCATGTAAAAGTTATAAAGCATGTATCTCAAAAATGTCATAACCACTGTCAACATATCAAAATCTCATATCAAATATCAGAGTAAAATCCCAGGCTAGAAGCGGTGGTGTGTGCCATGCGATCATCCCGAGCCCTTCCCTTTGCTAGCGGAAGTACCTGAAACCAAAACTGAAAATTGTAAGCACGAAGCTTAGTGAGCTCCCCCAAACTACCACATACCATACACATAACATATAACATAAACTTTGGGACTTCGCCCAGCTGCATCGGGACGAACCCGACATCGACTTACCTGACATCAGGCTTACCCCGACATCAGACCTCGCCCGACATCGGGCTTGCCCCGACAAACATACAACATATCACATATCATAAGCACATAACATAAGCATATAACATACATCGGGCTTGCACCGACATCGGACTGAAGCCCGGAACACGTAACACATAATATATAAGCTAACATGCATCGGGCTTATCCCGACATCGGACCTAGGCCTGGAACACGTAGCACATAACATGCATGAATCACAAAGACATCAAGCATACATATACACTTCTCGGGACCACCCCAACATCGGACCGAAGTTCAAAAACACATAATCTGCATCGGGCTAACCCCAACACAGGACCGAAGTACGGTATACGCTCACATACATAAACGAGCTGACATTGGTGCCTTCCACCCATTCCTACTGGAGGAAAACTCACCTCTCAAACTGGTTGTTGATAACTCGAGTGAGGAATATCTGATGACTGCTCCAACGACTCCCCGATTATACATTCACAAAACATTTAGTCAAAAACTAAAAATCCTTCTAAGGGTAAAATGACCATTTTACCCCTGGTCAAAGTAAACGCTTTGGTCAAAGTCAACATTATGGGTTGACCAACTCGCCGAGTCAACATTTCAACTCGCCGAGCTCTTTAACTCAGAAATCCTGGGATCACGAATCAACTCACTGAGTCTTTCCTCCGACTCGTCGAGTCCTATCTAGTTGTTCATAGTCGCGACTTGGCGAATCAAATCATTGAGTCCCTATATAGACTCATCGAGTTCTACCTTAAACTAGAACATGACAACACGACCCAACTCACCGAGTTCCCTTATAGACTCGACAAGTCCCTCTGTTTGTTTGGCCATCTTAATAGATTAAGCCCCTGTTCTCAAGATCCAAAGTCCATACTTCGCTTGTTCACTGTAAATGATCTTTCTAAGGGTAAAGTTTCTAACTTTACCCGTTGATAGCCCTTCTTGAAGCTAAAACCCTAATTATTTTAGGACATAGATCTTGTCCAAAAAGCCTTAATATCCCAAACCAAAGCATGAAAACCTAGATCTAGGGCCTAGATACCAGTTGAACACGTAAAGTCTCGAGCTTGCTTCCATGCATGTCCTTTTGGACTCAAAAGGCCATAATGATGTCCTTAAAGCTTGAATGGGGACTCTAATGGCATAAAGTTTGCACCTTTATGCCATTCCAACCCTTTAAGGTCTTAGATCTGGAAGATTACCCTCTTGGATCGATCATTCTCCAAAGCCCATCATTCTTTGACCAAAAACCCACATAAAGAGGACATAAAGAGATCTAATGAACTAATATCCAAGATCAGAGCTTGATTAACAAAAAAGTGTAGCAAATAGAGTGTAGTTCCTGGATATACTCTTCCCTTCCTGATCCCTCTATCTTCTTCTTCTTCTTCAAGCTTCAAAAACACACCAAAACCACTCAAATGGATCACACTCTCAAAGAAAACTCTAGGGTTTCGTGGATTAGGGTTTAGGACAAGGAGCCTGGAAATGAGGCCAAGGGGTGGGGGTTAAGGAGCTTAAATAGGGTGCAAAACCCTGAGATTAGGGTTTCACTCGGGTCGAGCTACTCGTCGAGTCGACGGTTCTTGACTCGTCGAGTAGGTAGCTCAAACTCCGCACATAAACTGCTCTCCACTCGACGGGTTAGGGCCACCAACTCGTCGAGTCCTTCTTTCAAAGTAAATAAATAAATAAGTTAAATGTGTACTAGGAACCAGACGTTACAACAATGGTTTTCTACAACGTTCATGATTACTTGAAAATAGGGATTTTAAGTATTGGATTGACCCACGCTCAAAGAATGACTTCATGGAATTTATCACGAGTAATTCTGAG